TAAAGATGTTCTTCGAAACCAATGAGAACAAAGACACAACGTGCCAGAATCTCTGGAACACATTTAAAGCAGCATCTAGATGGAAATTCATAGCACTAAATGCCCATAAGAGATGTGAAGAAAGATCTAAAATCCACATTCTAACATTACAATTAGAAGAACTAGAGGACCAAGATCAATAAATTCAAAAGCTAGCAGAAGACAAGAAATAAGTAACATCAGAGGAGAACTGAAGGAGATAGAGACACACAAAAAACCCTTCAAAAATTAATAAATACAGAAGCTGGTTTTTTGAAAAGATCAACAAAATATATAAACTGCTAGCCAGACTAATAAAGAAGAAAAGAGAGAAGAATCAAATAGATGTGATAAAAAATGATAAAGGCAATATCACCATCAATCCCACAGAAATACAAACTAGCATCAGAGACTACTACAAACACCTATGCAAATAAACCAGTAAATCAAGAAGAAATGGATAAATTCCTGGACACTTACACCCTCCCAAGATTAAACCAGGAAGAAGGTGAATCCCTGAATACACCAATAATAAGGTCTGAAACTGAGGCAGCAATTAATAGCCTGCCAACCAAAAAAAGTCCAGGACCAGACAGGTTCACAACTGAATTCTACCAGAGGTACAAAGAGGAGCTGGTACCATTCCTTCTGAAACTATTCCAAACAATACAAAAAGAGGGCATATCCTCCCTAACTCATTTTAAGAGACCAACATCATCCTGATACCAAAACCTGGCAGAGACACAACTAAAGAAGAAAATTTCGGGCCAATATCCACGATAAACATTGATGTGAAAATCCTCAATGAAATACTGGCAAACTGAATGCAACAGCACATCAAAACTTATCCACCAAAATTGAGTCAGGTTCACCCCTGGGATGCAAGGCTTGTTCAATATATGCAAATGTATAAACGTAATCAATCACATAAACAGAGCCAAAGACAAAAACCACGTGATTATCTGAATAGATGCAGAGAAGGCCTTTGACAATATTCAACAGCTCTTTATTCTAAAAGCTCTCAATAAACTAGGTATTGATGGAATGCTTCTCAAAATAATAAGAGCTATTTATAACAAACCCACAACCAATGTCATACTGAATGGGCAAAAACTGGAAGTGTTCCCTTTGAAAACTGGCACAAGACAAGGATGTTCTCTCTCACCATTTCTATTCAACATAGTTTTGGAAGTTTTGGTCACAGCAATTAGGCAAGAAAAAAAAAATAAAGGTATTCAATTAGGAAAAGAGGAAGTCAAATTGTCTCTATTTGCAGATGACATAATTGTTTATTTAGAAGACCCTGTTGGCTCAGCCAAAAATCTCCTTAAGGTAATAAGCAACTTCAGAAAAGTTTCAGGATCCAAAATCAATGTGCAAAAATCACAAGCATGCCTATACACCAATAACAAACAAATAGAGAGCCAAATCATGAGTGAACTCCCATTCACAATTGCTACAAAGAGAATAAAATAACTGGAGTACAACTAACAAGGGATGTGAAGGTCCTCTTAAAGGAGAACTACAAACCACTGCTCAAGGAAATAAGAGAGGACACAACCAGAGAGAAAAAAACATTCCATGCTCATGGTTAGGAAGAATCAATATCATGAAAATGGCGATATTGCCCAAAGTAATTTATAGATTCAATGATAGCCCCATCAAGCTACCATTGACTTTCTTTACACAATTGGAAAAAACCAGCTTAAACTTCATATGGAATGAAGAAAGAGCCCATGTAACCAAAATAATCCTAAGCAAAAAACAAACAAACAAACAACAAAAAAACCCCACAAGGCTACAGTAACCAAAACAGCATGGTACTGGTATCAAAAAAGAAACATAGACCAATAGAACAGAACAAAGGCCTCAGAATTAATGCCACACATCTACAATTACAACCATCTGATCTTTGAGAAAACAAGGAAATGGGGAATGGATTCTCTATTTAATAAATGGTGTTGGGAAACCTGGATAGCCATATGCAGAAAGCTGAAACTGGACCCCTTCCTTACACCTTGTACAAAAATTAACTCCAGATGGATTAAAGATTTAAACATAAGACCTAACACTATAAAAATCCTAGAAGAAAACCTAGGAAATACAATTCAGGACATAGGTATAGGCAAGTCTCCCTGAATAAAACACCAAAAGCAATGTCAACAAAAGCCAAAATAGACAAATGGGATCTAATTAAAAGCTTCTTCATAGCAAAATAAACTGTCATTAGAGTGAACCAGAAACCAAAAGGATGGGAAAAAATTTTTGCAGTCTACCCATCTGACAAAGGGCTAATATCCAGAATCTTCAAAGAACTTAAAAAAAAATTACAAGAAAAAAACAACCCCATCAAAAAGTGGACAAAGGATATGAACACTTTTCAAAAGAAGACATTTATGCTTCCAACAAACATATGAAAAAAAGCTCATCATCACTGTTCATTAGAGAAATGCAAATCAAAACCACATTGAGATACCATCTCATGCCAGATAGAATGGTGATCATTAAAAAATCAGGAGACAACAGATGCTGGAGAGGATGTCAGAAAAAAGAACACTTTTACACTGTTGATGGGAGTGGAAATTAGTTAAACCATTGTGGAAGACAGTGTGATGATTCCTCAAGGATTTAGAACTAGAAATACCATTTGATCCAGCAATTCCATTTCTGGGTAAATACCCAAAGGATTAGAAATCATTCTATTATAAAGACACATGCACACATATGTTTATTGTGGCACTGTTTACAATAGCAAAGACTTGGTATCAATCCAAATGTCCATCAATGATAGACTGGATAAAGAAAACATGGTACATATACACCATGGTATACTATGCAGCCATAACAAAGGATGAGTTCATGTCCTTTGCAGGGACATGAATGAAGCTGAAAACCATCATTCTCAGCTACTTAACAGAAGAACAGAAAACCAAACACCACATGTTCTCACTCATAAGTGGGTGTTGAACAATGAGAACACATGGACACAGGGAGGAGAACATCACACACCGGGGCCTGTCATGGGGTGAGGGGCTAGAGGAGGGATAGCAAGTGGTGGGGGGATTGGGGAAGTATAGCATTAGGAGAAATACCTAACATAGCTGACTGGGGGGGATGGATGCAGCAAACCACCATGGCACATATATACCTATGTAACAAACCTGCATGTACTGCATACGTACCCCAGAACTTAAAGACTAATAATAAAAAAAGATATACCAAAAGGAAATATAATAAATTATAGCCTTCTGGGCAAAATTGCATTGTAATTGCATGTAATTATGTCAACTCAGGTTGATTTTGTTTACCCCGTCATATTAGAGATATGAAATCGGAGGCGCACAGGATTACACAATTTTTTGGCAACTTCAGATTTTGCCTTTTGCCTTTTCACATATATACAATAACGGATTGCTTGTGAATCATGTTAGGTAGAGCTTTACTGGTTGATGATAGTGTTGCTCCAGTTACTGATATTGGTGCATATTAAGCATCCTCAGAAGTGCTTTTTTCTTCCAATGTTTCACTAAGACTTCTCAGTAGGGGGCATCTATCTTAAAATCTAGCTTCTTTTTAGTTTCTGTAGAAGATCCGTTTTGAGTCATCACGATAGAGTATTTGCTGTCCTATCAATACGCCTAAACTAGTCAGTTCTTTAATCTAGTTTTAAAGTTCAGTTAGAAGAACTGTTGTAATTTCTCCTGTTTGCCAGTTGATCCTCTCTTGCTAAGACACATACAATCTGCAGGAAGAAAAAAATTGTGCTGTGCACAATAGTATCCACAAATCAGTACTACCTACCATATTATGCTTCAGGAAATACAAAGCTATACTCTGTTCATATGGAAGATTACAGATTTCTATGATATTATTCCTGAGAATAAATATTTAAAAGTTGTAAGAATTAAAGAAAAAAACTACATTATGTTTAACTAAGCCCAATTCTTATACAAATTGAATTTTTATTTCTGTAACTCCTTCTCTCCTAATAATAGAGAAATACTTTCAACTTTTACAAAAATCTAAATGCTTTAATCATCAGGTAACATCAGAAAACTCATTTTTATGATACACACACCCAATGCAGAACTACATGTACAGTTGCAGAGTTGAATGGGCTATACAATGCACAGCTCCAGGATATGTCATTCTCATTAGAGTCCATGAAAACGTTATCACTTTCTGTTGGACAGCACGCGACAAGTAAGTAGGATACATTGGCCCTGTGAAACACATATATGAGCAGAAAAGGAAAAAACACAGATGAATCTTATCTTTGTTCAGAATTGACACAACTTCATGACACACCTTTTAAGTTAGTTTAAGTCAGTTTAAACATCAGTTTTCATGGTTAAAGTTAGGTTTAATTAGAAAATCCATTCCCAACCAGGACAAGTAGACTTGACAGTTCTACTTCTGTGTTTTCTTGCTGGATAAGCAGTTTCTTTCATGTAAGACTGCTAAATGGCTAGAGCTGTAAAGTAGTATAAAGAAAAATACTGACCTTCTCACCCCGGTTATATTCAATCTTATTCAAACTGCATGTGATTAGAAAATGACCACATTTGGAGGAAGAATAAAATATTTAAAGGCAACAGGGACTGTTTTAATATTTTTTCAATTTGAAACAAACCACTACAATATAGGATTGTTACTACACATACATCCAAATAGACACATTGCAAAGTATTTTATTCAATAATAATACATGTACACTCACATAGAGCAGGAAGATAAGTAAATATTTACCTCCTACTCAGAGCTCTAAGGAGCAACAAAAACAAAAAGCTAAAATATGTTCCTTTGATGCAAAATGGAGAAAAGAAAAAACCTTAGGGAAAGATTAAAATAGCCTTAAAAATATTAATGGTGTTTGAAGGTAACAACAATGAAGTTTTAAAGTTCATTTGTATTTTTGTTCTGTTAGCCTCTGTTTCCTTAAGTGCTAATCAGATCAATAATCTCCTGGGAGGTTGGCAGTACAGTGCTTATCCTACTTTGCTAAACATTTCATTAAACAAAACCTCAAGAAGAACTGAAAAACCAAACAATACCTAAACCCAAAATAAATAAATGAATAAATAAGCACACACAGATACATCTCTACAAGAAGAAAAATGAGGATTCATGATCGTATTTCAGAAGACAAACAACTGGATATTGTTTTGTAGCAAAAAAATGTCATGCAGGGAGTCAGAAGTAGTTTTCCATTCTGTTTCTGGTGTCAACTACCTCTCTGACACCAGCAAATAGTTTAGTCTACCTCTACTTCCATTTCCTCATCTGAAAAATGAGGTAAAATATTTTCTTCACTTGTAAAGTTGTTTAAAGAACTAAACTCATAACAGAATGGAAGTTGTTGGCATAATTAGGTATTAACTACTGGTTACTTTTGACAGCATTAATATAAAAGTTTTGATGAATACTAAAGAATAGAAGATATGCAGCAGTTTCTTAAAAATAAGGCATTCATCCACATCTGTACTTAGCCAAATCTGTATTTTTCACCCTTAAATATCTTTTTTCTGACTGCTTAACAAACCAAATGTCTTTGCCTCCTCAAAACATAATTCCAGACTAATTTTCTTTGCGATATCTGTCCAGATTAAATACTATATATCAAACTATTATGGAAACATACCTAGAAGTTACATGCTGAGATAATTTTTAAAATGTAGCCCAAATCAATATTGAAAAGAGGTAAGATAGAATAATAAAGAAAAAAATACAAAATTAATAAGAGGGTTTGTGAATACTTGGAAGAGAGAATTTTAGCTACTCAAAACCATCATTGTTTCATTAAGTGATATTAGATCAATCTAATCCCATATCCATTTTGATGGCCTAATTGTATTTGTAGATCATAAATGTGACAAATGTTGTTATATTTTTATTTCAGTAAGATATTCAATAAATTTTCCTGTGTAATCTTTATCACAAGGTTAATAAACATTGGCTAGCAGCTTACAATGGCAGGGGACCTCCCAAGCAGGTGCTCTTTATGGTTTTATGCTTTAGTTACTATACTTATTAACATGGTTGGGAACATAGAAAATGTGCTAATCAAATGTGCAAATAATACTGGGGCAGTAGCCAGTGTACTAAATAACATAATTGTACCTTTTTTAATTAATTATTTTTATTTTTAATTTCTGTGGGTGCATAGTAGGTATACATTTTGTGGGTTACAAGAGAGATTTTGATACAGGCATGCAATGTGTAATAATCACTTGAGGATAAATAGGGTATCGATTATCTCAAGAATTTATCCTTTGTGTTACAAACTATCCAATTATACTTTTATTTAACAATGTATAAACAAATTATTTTTTAACTATAGTCACCCCTTTCTGCTAGCAAATACTAGGTCTTATTCATTCTTTCTAACAATTGATAAATGACTGAATGGTAGTTGTGGACTCTGAAGGCATTGGAGATGTTTTGTTAACACAGGTGCCATGCCACCTGCCAGAGCATTGGCCTCAGAGGCCTCTGGTTCCTAATCCATATGTCTGCAGGGTAAAGAGCAAATCAGATTGAAAAGGTGGAGGAGGTCTACTTGTTTTCTTTTTTTGTACCCAATAACCGTCTTCATTCCCCACCCCCAGCTCACTGCTCTCTCTAGCTTCTAGTAAACCATCCTTCCACTTTGTACCTCCATGAATTCAATTGTTAAAATTTTTAGGTCCCAGAAATATGTGAGAAAATGTGAAGCTTGTCTTTTTGTGCCTGCCTTATTTCACTTAACCTAATAATCTCCAGTTCCATCCATGCTGTAAATGACAGGATCTCATTCTCTTTTTATGGCTGAATAGTACTCCATGCTGTATAGGTGCCACATGTTCTTTATCCACTCATCTGTTGATGGACACTTAGGCTGCTTCCAAATCTTGGCTATTGTAAGTAGTGTTGTAATAAACACAGGCGTGCAGATATCTCTTTAGTAAACTGATTTCTTTTCCTTTGAGTATATATCTAGGAGTAGAATTACTGAAGATTATTGCAGAATATGGTAGCTTTAATTTTAGTTTTTCAAGGAGCCTCCAGAGTGTTCTCCATTGTGGTTCTACAAATATACATTCCTACCAATAGTGTATAAGCATTCCCTTTTCTCCACATTTTTGCCAGCATCTGTTATTGCCTGTCTTTTGGATAAAGGGAATTTTAACTGGTGAGATGATATCTTATTGTAGTTTTGATTTGCATTTCTCTGATGATCAGTGGTATTGAGCACCTTTTCATATACCTGTTTGTCATTTGTATGTCTTCTTTAGAGAAGTGTCTATTCAGATATTTTGCCCATTTTTAAAATCAAATAGTTTTTTTTCCATTGAGTTGAATTCTTTACATATTCTGGATATTAATCTCTTGTCAGATATATAAATTGCCAAAACTTTCTTCCATTCTGTAGGTTGTTTTGCCACTTTGTTGATTACTCCCTTTTCTCTGCAGAAGCTTTTTAACTTGATATGATTCCATTTGTCCATTTTTGCTTTGAATGCCTGTGCTTGTTGAATATTACTCAAGAAATCTTTGACATCTCCAATATCCTGGGGTGTTTCTCCAATGTTTTCTTTCAGTTTTATGGCTTGAGGTCTTAGATGTAAGTGTGTAATATATTTTGATGGTATTTTTGTATATGGCAAAAGATAGGAGTCTAGCTTCATTCTTTGGCATATGAATATTCAGATTTCCCTGCACCATTGATTGAAGAGACTGTCCTTTCTCCAACATATGCTCTTCACACCTTTGTTAAAAATAAGTTCACTATAGATGTATGGATTTATTTTTATGTTCTACATTCTTTTCTGTTTTTATGCCAGTGCCATGCAGTCATAGTTACTATAGCTCTGTAGAATAATTTGAAGTCAGATAATGTGATTCTTCCAGTGTTGTTCAGTGTAATATTGGCCTCCTAAAATGAGTTTGGCAGTATTTCCTCCTCTGCTATTTTTTGGATCAGTTTGAGTAGGATTGGTATTAATTTTTCTTTAAATGTTTGGTAGAACTCAGCAGTGATGTTATTGGGCCCCACATTTTTCTTTGCTGGGAAACTTTTTATTGTGGCTTTAATGTTGTCACTTGTTACTGATCTGTTCAATAGCAAGCAACAACTTAAAGCCGTAATAAAAAGTTCTGGTTTGGGGATTCCTTGTAGTTCAATCTTGGTAGGCTGTATGTGTCTAGGAATTTATATATATTTTTTCTAAATTTTTCCAATTTATTGGGACAAAGTTGATCATAGTAGCCACTAAGGATGCCTTTAGTTTCTGTGCTATCACTTGCAATGCCTCTTTTTTCATCCCTTAATTTATTTATTTAGGTCTTCTCTCTTTTTTGCTTAGTCGGGCTAATGCTTTGTCAGCTTTGTTTAATTTTCCAATAAAACAACTTTTTGTTTGGTTGACCCATTGTACTGTTTTCTTTATTTCAATTTCATTTGTTTCTCCTCTGATAGTTATTTCTTTTCTTCAATTCATTTTGGGTTTGGTTTGCTCTTGCTTTTCTAGTTTTTTAAGATGCATCATTGTTCATTTGGAGTTTTTCTTCTGTCTTAATATAGGTACCATAGCTATAAACTTCCCTTTTAGTACTGCTTTCACTATATCTCATAGATTTTGATATGTTGTGTTTCCATGGTTCATTGTTTCAAGAAATTTTTCCATTTTTTTCTTTTTTCATTGAACTGCTCATCATTCAGGACCATACTGTTTAACATCCATTTGTTTGTATAGTTTCCAAAATTCCTCTTATTATTCCTCTAGTTATATTTCATTGTGTTCAAATAAAATGCTTGCTATTATTTTGTTTTTGTTTTTGTTTTTTTCGAAATGTTTTCTGCCTTGTTGGGTGTCCTAACACATTGTCTATTCTTAAGAATGATCCATGTGCTGAGGTAAAGAATGTACATTCTGCAGTCATTGGACAAAATGCTTTGTAAATATCTGTTAGGTCCATTTGGTCTATAGAGCAGATCACATCCAATGTTTCTTTGTGGATTTTTCCTCTGGAAGATCTATCCGTCCAATGCTGAAAGTGGGGTGAAGTCTCCAGCAATTATTGTATTGGGATCTATCTCTCTCTTTAGCTGTAATAATATTTGCTATTTTGAATTCTCTGTCTAAAAGGTCCTATATCTCTGTCTCTCCAGGATTGGTCCCCAGTGCCTTATTTAGTTCATTTGGTGAAGTCATGATTTCCTGGATGTTCTCGATGCTTGTTCATGTTCATTGGTCTCAGGGCATTGACGAGGTGGGTGTTTATTTTAGTCTTCATAGTCTGGGCTTGTTTGTACCATCCTTCTTGGGAAGGCTTTCCAGGTATTCAAAAGCAATTGGGTATTGTAAGCTAAGCCATATCTGCATTAGGGCACATCTAAAGCCCAGTAATGCTGTAGTTGTTGGTGACTTGTAGAGGTACCACCTTAGTGATCTCGGAAAAGATCCACAAGAATTCTGTGGATTACCAGGCAGAGACTCTCATTCCTCTCCCTTACTTTCTTCCAAACAAAGGAGCCTCTTTGTCTGTGTTAAGCTGCCTGGAGCTGGGGATGGCATGACATAAGCACCCCCGTGACCCCCACTAATGGGACTTCTGTGAGTCCAGCCTGAAGCCAGCATAACACTGGGTCTCACCCAAGGCCCACTATAACCACTGCCTGGCTACCATTTATGTTCAAGGCCTCAGGGCTCTACAATCAGTGGTTGGAAAAGCCAGCTACGCTTACGTCCTTCCCTTTACAGTGGCGAATTTCCCCATACCCCAAGTGGGTCTTTCCAGGAGCCAGGGACTGAAGTGAAAAATATTAGAAGTCTACCTGGTACTTTACTTTACTGTAGCTAAGCTGGCCCTTAAACTATGAGATGCAATCCTCTACTCTTCCCTCCCCTTTCCACAGGCAGAGGAGCCTTAACCCATGGCCACCACCACCACAGGTCCATAAGGAGTATTACCAGGCTACTGAGGTTCACTTCAGGTGCAAGACCTCTTCAGCCAGTTTGTGGTAAATGCTGCCATGTCTGGCACTCTCTCTTCAGGGCAGTGGACTTCCTTCTGGCCCAGGTCAGGTCCAGTAATGCCATCCAAGAATCAAGGCCTGGAACTGGTGACTCTAAAAGCCCAGGTGGTGCCCTCCCAACTGTGGCTAATTTAGTAGCTAATGTGCAAGGCAAAGACTGCTTTATTTTTCTTCAGCTTTTCTCAAGCAGAAGAAGTCTCTCACTATAGCCACCACAGCTGGGAATAGGCTGTCTCACCCAAGACCCATGGCATACTACTTGGATATAGCTGCTGGTTATTCAAGGCCCAAGGGCTCTTTTAGTCAGCAGGTGGTATATTTTGCTGGGTCCTTTGCTTTATGGCAGTAGGTTCCCTTCTGGCCCAGGATGTGTCTAGAAATATTTTCTGAAAGGTAGGACCTAGAATGTGGCCTCATGACTGCCCGTTGCCCAATCCTACTGTGCCTGAGCTGTTATCCAAGATGCAAGACAAAATCCTCTTTACTCTTCCCTCTTCTCTCCTCAAGAGGAAGGAAGGGTTGTTTTTTGGAGTGAGAGCTGTGTTGACTGGGGTTGGGGGAGGGATATCACAAGCACTGCCTTAGTCACCCTTGTTTGTGTCTCAGTAGGTAGCATGCTCCCAAGTCCACTGGCTCCAAGCCCATTTCAGCACTAGGACATGTCCAGGAGTTGTAGTCTTTGTGGCCTAGACTGCTCTTCAAGTTTATTTAAGGTCCTGGAGCACTTTAGCCAACAGTGGTGGGGCTTGCTGGAACTCATATTCAGACTGCTGAGATGGGTGGTTCCCCTCTGGCTAGGGCTCATCTAAATGGTCCCTATATGGATGGGTGATGGCTGAGTTCAGCCCAGTTTTGCTTTCAGCTGTGACAGGGCAGCACTGAGTTCAATGCAGTGTCTCACAATCGCTGTACTCTCCCTCTCCCTAGCACACAGATTCTTTCTCCATGCCACGTAGCTTTTGCTGGGAGATGATGGGAGAGGGGTGGAATCCTGAATTCAAGAATGTCTTTTCTAACCTCTTCAATGCTGCTTTCAGACACATGAAGTTAAAACCAGGTACTGTGAATGCACACCTGATTTTTGGTTTCTTTGCCGAAAACAACACTTTCATAAGACTTAGATAGTTGTTAAATTTGGTGTTCTGTCCAGTGGCATGGGATAGGCCAACTTGCTCTCCCCTATGTTGAATTATAATGTTTAAAAATGCCAATAAACTAAATTTAAAAGCCAAAATAAGATTAAATGTCATATTAATACCCTTACGGTATTAAGTGATATTACCTATGTGTTATTAATCTCCTTAAAATGTGGCTGCCAAAATACATATAGACCCAAGTGATATTCCTCTAATGCCTGCAAATAACAATGACTCTCGCTGCATCAGAGTTTGCTTAAAAGCACAAAAAATAATTTTTGATGAGCATCCTTTATGTTAAAAAAAATCCCAAAAAGCCAAAGGTTTGTAAAAGTCTATCCCAAGGAAGGAAAACCTCTTCCCTTTATTTGTTCTTGGCACAGCTGAGTCAGGCTAGAACACTGCAAAAGATTTCACTAAATAGTAAGTGGAACCAAACTGACTGGAGAGATATTCTTTCAAAAACCACATAAACAGAAGCCTTAAGATCAATTACCACAAGTTGATATGGGGTCAAAGAAAAACCACATTCTAAATCCAGAATCCACTTACACAAAGCTCTTTAGCTGCATTATATATTAAATTGAAATGTTAAAACCAGTCTAAAAGCACAGCTCTACAAATTGAGCAAAAAAAATGGTTTATTCAATTTAATATGTTGTAGTAGATAAAATGGATGTTTTGGAAGATTATGTAAGAAAATGAAAAATGCTCAGGTAGCAATATTAATTGGGGTAGTAAACTGTATATGTGACTATGATTACAAGTCTGCAAATATGTGATCTTTTAAAAGAAGCTTTCTAGCATGACATGCACCTGTAGTCCTAGCTACTCAGGAGGCTGAGGCAGGAGGACTGGTTGAGCCCAGGACTTTGAAGCTGCAGTGTGCTATGATCTCCCCCCGTACTGTGTGACACAGCAGGACTCTAAATAAATAAATAAATTTAATTAGATTAAATGAGCCTTCTAAAATTATTTTAAAGGTAATATTACAAGTCCTTCATAACATTGTGTTTTGGTAATAGGCAAGGAGTGATTTATTTCTTCATTTTGCTTTTATGAATGTTCTAAATTCTCTTTAATAATTAGATAACAACTCAGATTTATTAATAACTATTACATGTATGGTATTTGTCGCTCTTCTTGCCTCATCTTATTTAATGCATGGCAAAGAGATTGTGAAACAGTTACTTCTATTATCCATTTTTATAGATGAAGATATGGAGACGCATGAAACAATCTAGATTAATGGCTGAGAAATCCCTAGTTGTGAATTCTTTGTCGTGTGCCTATGATTCTAAATGTGGCAATTTACTTATAAGGTCCAATTTCTTAATCATCCTAAACTACAAAAGGATGCACAACATGATCCAGTTTACAAGTTAAACAATTTGATTATGCCAAAGCTAATTTATAATCTTAATGTCCATATGCCCCACATTTTATAGGCTGAGATAACCAGCAACTTATCGCCAAGTTACTGGTACAATTCTAGCAGTGTGACCTTGGATAAATTATATAATATCAATGAGTAGTAATCCTCTACCTGAAAATAGGAATAACATTTATTTTATAGAATTATTGTGATGATTAGAAATCATACATATAAAAGGCTTAGATTAATGACTAAAGCATTCATCCTCATTGTTGTTGTTAAGTTTTATGGGAAAATTTATTCTAATTCTAAATATATTTTCTAGCACAAGTTTTCCAATTTAATTGTTCCTCTATTGTAGGAAATAGATGGAAGATAATAAGTGTAGTTTCTTCCTCTAGGCAGGCACTAATTTATCAGTCCTTATGTGGCACCAAATCTGAACACAGCCAGATATAGATGGTCTGTGATAGAAGAAACCAGATGGTCTCACTGACCTCACCCCAGGTACTGTGCTTTTGATATTATTCTAGAATGTGGTCTTTATAATTTGGTTTCTGTAGCATCCCAGGGACAAGTTCACATGTGCTGGTGTGAGTTTCATTTTGCATGTGCTGCTTTATCATGAACATGGAAGACATACTAGGTTTCTGTAGTAGAAACACTCCAGCCTCTTCCAAAGCAGAAGGCCCTGGGCTGTGTACCTTCAAAGAGAAGCAAACATACAGAGCTTTTAACAGCTCTGACTTCTGGGATTGGAACACATTGCTGAAATCACTTCTGCCCTGATCCAACAATTCATTATCTCCCAGAAACAGTGGCTTTTATAGCTGCTATGGGGTTGCTATAGTCTTCTAGAAAGAAGGAATAATCTCATTACAGACATGAATGCTCAAGCCCTTATATTAAAAGCTTTAGACTTAATTTTATTTGTCTAAATCTGTAATCAATCTAAGAGTGGGATGGAGATATTTTTATGAAACAAATTTAGAAAAGAGCTAATTTTATTTTATACAAAACAAAATTGGCCCTTTATAATAAACTCCCCAAATAGTCCAAAGAATGAATTATATTTTTATTTCCTCATTACACAGCTGGGAAATTATTGAAATGAACATGAAAATCTTGATTTCAATTCGTACTTGATATGTAAAACAAGACCTTGTAAACTTCTAACATTTTCCAATGTATAAGTCTGTAATAATTTACCAAGGACACCCTACTGCCCTAGAATTATTTTGAATCTCTTTATTGATGTAATCAGATTAATTTAACAATGAAAATTAGTCCCAACTTTAGAGATGGAATCAACACAAGTCAAGAGTATTGTCTGATTTGCCTGAGGCCTATTTTCACCCATGGAATAAATGGCACCATTGGTGGTTATTGAGTAGGTAAATAACTACAGGTCATATCTGAATCTAATGATAGGAGTAATTTCATCAAACCTAAACTTGAATGATAGCATTCCACAGAAATGGGGAGGTAGAAAAAAGTTAAGTATCTTGATTTGTAAGACATATGTATATACTCAATTAGTGTCTACACAGGGCAATTTTATTTAGAACAGTGGGGTAAGGGGAGAAGGGATGAGAGGATACTATGGAGAATAGAACTAAGTCAGATTAAAGGAGAATGGAGCCTATGAAAAGATCTCTAGTCAGTGTGTGAGAGTGAGTGTGTGTGTGTGTGTGTGTGTGTATGTAACAGGGAAATGGTTACCTAACTCAGGCTCTGAATTATGAACCTTGTGTGAGGTAAGGTTTTACTTGTGGTAAAATACCCTGGGAATTGAAGGTGAGACACCCATCACTCTCTGAACCAGGAAGCAGCTAGGGGATGCCTTTCCCTGCCATAAAAGTATGAAATGGAGCTTCTGTGCAACACCAGGATCTTGAACTACTGAACAGAAGGAAGCTAAGCATTGGCAAACCAAAGACCAATTTAGCAAGTCAATAGCCAGTGAGTGCTCAGTGAGGCGTGATAATGCCTTTATAGTATTTAGTGATTCTGAGGAGCAGCTATACATGTCTGGTATATTTCTCAGTAGAGATACATAGTATTAATAACCAATTTCCAGAGTAAGGCACCATCTCTTTCACAGAATTTCCAAAAGTATAACAACTTAACGAGGTCTTCATTGAGAACTTTTTTTCTATAACTGGTATTCATACTCAGGCCAAAGGAAAGATATCCCAGCTCCACCTGCGATGACAATTGCCCTTCTATTTCTAGAAAGATGATTTTGATCAAAAGTAAGTTTCATGTAACATCAGAAATCTTTGTACTTTCAAGCTATTTCTCATTCTCTGACTGAAACTGGATATTAATTTCCAATCCAAATTATATAGCTTCTTCCCTCTGAAACCAAAAGGAAAAGAAAATAAACTCTCATCTCTTCTTGTCCTTGGACTCCACCACTGGTCATTTCTTCAAGCCTTTCAAGCATTAGTCAATATTTTATTAACGTATTCACATTTCAAAAGAAGAAGAAGAAAAAAGAAAACCTGCATTCATTCTCAAAACACCATACGTTTCTTCTATTCCTATTTGATTACAATGAATAAAGCAATGGGTCTGTCAGATAAACATGATTATAATAGTTTTTTATTAAAACAGTGAAGATTTTAAAATTATGTTGTATGATGGCATCCAAAATGAGAATAATGTTAGGAATTTTAAGATTCTCCTTTTTTCCATATTCTATATAGAAAATATAAAAGAAAAATCAGTGTCATTGAAAGATTTTCATTAGAAAGACAGAAGTCATGGATTATAATAAAAAATAGATTTATTGAGCTAAAAATAGTGAGTAGGCAGCATTTTCAAAATTTTAAATGAATTCCATGATAAAGTATTTACAGTATGTATTTTCTTTCTCTGGGAATTATTACATTTTAGTATATTCATTAACCTCAAGATTATTCACCAGTTATTAAAATTTTTAACATTTAAGTAGATATATAGAAGTGACACTACTAACTTTCCCTTTCTACAGAGAAAAACACTTTATTTGTTTTTGGCTTTCTATTTAATAGAATAGAGGATATACTGGAGGAAACAGCTAACAAAATACATCAGGAAGTAAACTCAATATACTTGCCTTTGGGTTCCTTTCTTTAGAAATTAAATCTATAGAGGTATTGGTGAATGTATTCTACAGTTATTGTTTGAATTTGTAGCATTTAAAATTTTCAGATAAAAAAGCCAACTCCAGAAAATACAACTTAATAACTATGTTTAAAATATTAAAAATAAAATTTAGAAACAGTGCTATGTATTCATCTTTACTGTATTTTTTAAAAATCTTAAGATCTTTTTGACTCCATGAAGTCAGAATATGTTGAATACCAAAATAAATGTGTTGCAACAAAAATTTCACCAACCCCAGGAAGGCATATAGAATATCTCTAAGGCCTGGAGGTTGTGAGTTACAGCTGTGTTAATTGGAAATCTGCTTCATAAACTAGTAAACAGAGCAAACTAGTTATTGCAGAACTGAAATCTAACTAGATCACCAGAAGGATTCTCTGTCTTTGTCCCCACCTCACTACAAGGCATTTTCATGGTCAATTACTGCTGAACAGACTATCCAGAAGAGGAAAATGCATCAGCAATCTATTTATTCAAACCTCATCTCAAAAACAAACATAAATAATTTAAGAAGAGAAAAAGGGTTTAAATGTGTGCTAGCAAGCATCTAAGCATAGTAATTTCATAGCCTTGAAAATTAAGAATGTAATGGTTTCATATTTTCACATCAAGCATTACTGATTTTTTTTATTTAAAGAGCAGTTTCTTGTGTGCGCTTTTAAATTGTTCCAAATTAACTTTTATATTTAGAACATGGTCATCTTTGTTCCAACATTTTCAAATTCCACAATAAACAGTAATCTTTGTAACTGATTAAAATGGGCTTTATAAATTTGGAAAAAGCTAAATTACAGATTATGACTTTTTCCCAGTATATATTAATCTCATCGAAAATGAAATTTAGCTGGTATTTTATATGTAATAGAGGAATATAATTTGTTTTTATATTAGTACTAGTCTTGACCTAAGTATTTACAAATCAATACTAATTTTATGTTTAATGGCATCTATAAATGTCTTTATGCAGGAAGTTTAATTTTTGTGCTGTAGTTACAAATGCATTTTTAAGTACACAGAGAATTTTAAAAGGGCAGAAGAGAATTTAAAGGTGTTATTTACATAAATGTAAAAGCCCTTAAAGTGGAGAAATCTCTCATCCAAAATTTCAAATACTTGCTTGACTCTGGAGGCCTGGCACAATAAGGAATTAGGATTCCTCCTAAGAACTACACATCCAAAGGCTGTCCTGAAAGACTTTCAGTACTTGATGATGCTCTTTTGGGTACCACCACCTAGATGCCCATTTAGCTTGCTCTCTTCCCCACTATCTACTATCCCCTGTGGTCTCTTTTGGGCTCTGCCCAAACTAGTGGTTCTCAAAGAAAGGTAGCCATGGATTGAAATGACTTGGGTAGCTTTTAAGAACTCATTGTCCAGATCATACTTCAAATAAATCAAAATATTGGGGCTGTGTGTGTGTGTGTGTGTGTGTTTATAGTTGTGGTGATGGTAAGGAGGGTGGTGAGGTGAAGAGGGTCAGCTATCAGTACTTAAAAAATATCCAGCCTGGGCAACATGGAGAAACCTTGTCTCTAAGAAAGCACAAAAAATTAGCTGGGTGTTGTGGTGCAAGCCTGTGTTCCCAGCTACTTGCTTGGGTGGCTGAGGTGGGAGGATCAACTGAGCCTGGAGGTTGAGGCGGCAATAAGTTGTGATCATGCCACTGGACTCCAGCCTGAGTGATAGACTGAATCCCTGTCTCAGAAAAAAATTATATATATCCCAGATGATTCCCATGTGCAGCCAAAGTTCAGCATCACAACCCCAGACATTCCATTCTCCTTTGTATTTATTTCTCCTTTTCCAATTATATTTTCCACCAAATCTATAACCTGCTTCATGTTCTCAACTGTAACCACATGTGCCCACAAATTTTTGCCTAAAGGCTCGTGCTGTCCATTCCTGAAGGTATGTAGATTAGGCCTGGCTGGCCATTGCCCATTAGGCCCATAAGAACAGCTGACTTCCTTCTCGCTAGTTCTATTTCCTTTGGACCAATGGAAAGCTATAGCCTGGTAACTTGCCTCTTTTCACCATTGCCCTCTCCAGCCATTTCACACACAGTAGCCGGGTTAGCATTTTTGTATGAAAACAAGATCAAGTCACTTTCCACTAAGATCTCAATGCAGCAGCACTGCACAGGATACTTTATCTACTGGCTAAAGTTGTCCGTCAGTGCAATCACACAGCGTAACATCACCCTATTTTATTTTCTTCGTAGTACTTATCCCTAAATAAATAGTTTTTTACTCATTTCACTTGGGATTTTTTCAGTCTCATCAATAGAATTTCAGGTACCATGTCCATCTCATTTATCTTGTAACGCTAATACCCAGGAGTGTACATGCACAGAATAGATACTTTAACTGGTATTTATCAAATGCAAGAAGTCACTGTGATTTCTGACTTCCCAACATCACGTCATAGCTATCTAGCTGTAGCTGCGCTAGCAGATCCTGTACTCCTGAAACCGCAGTGATCTGTGGGACATCAGAGAATATGTTCAGAATTCTGTTTCTCATTCTTATCCATGAATGCAAAATAAGAAACTTAATTCATAAGGCATATCCCTAGAGTCCTCGAGAATCTCATTTCTTGCAAACTATCCCCAGGCTCTCTCATTTTTGACCTCTAACATTTCTATGGCAGTGAAAAAACATCCCCAGACAGATAGCTTTCTATTAGCATGGATAATTGAGAGTTAACAAGGCACTATTATCTTTCCAGGTGATACCCAAATTACTTTAGGTAATTTTTAAAGTGTTACCAATTTGGAAATGCATGGATTATTTTAGTCAGCGGTGTATAATTCAAAAAATGATTACTTCAGGGAATGGATTGATATCTAGATAAGAAGACTTTATGTATTTCTTAAGACACCTACTTACCAATACACAATAATACAATTTAGAATAAGACAGTTTCAAACTCCTTCCAGTGGCAACCAATACATAGGTATGTGTATGCAATTTAGTTCCAGCATAAAACTCCTTCTTTGTCCTTCAAAAATATTCCCGTTGACATCGTTTACCAAAGTTTCTCCACAGATATGGAGCCAAACTAACTGTCCCTCCCTTTAGTGATGCAAAATACGACCTCTAACACAATAGCTGTGACCAAATTGGACTAGACAAAAATGTCAGTAACTCAAACATGAAATTGCCTTTTTTCCTCCAAGCTATTCAGCTTTATTGGGGATGAAAATTAAACAAATAAACTATGAAATCTGTATCTTGACAGATGGTATGATAAATATTCTAGGAAGTGTTTGATTCCAATTTTAAGGCTAGTAGGATTTCCTCCAAAATATCTAATTTCTAGGAAGAAATGTCTAGTTTCTAAAGGAGATTTTGATTATACTGATACAAGATAACCATACCAAACCCTGTTATCCTCATATATATATATATATATATATATATATATATATATATATATATGAGGAAAGACAGCAGAGGGTAGGCTAACTAGCCAACATTTCAAATTAGTACAATGGTTGTACTAGGATCATTCCTCATATTGAGCATTATAATTTCTCATTCTTGAAAGAAAACTTTCAGAGGAAGGCAACCGTAGGGAAGACGATTCAGAGTTTAGTTCGTATAGTTTTAAAATATCCCATGATAAAACACCATAAATTGC